GTGTGTATGTGTGTGTTGAGAGAGTGAGTGTGTGTGTGAGCGTGTATGTATACAGTGCCTTGCAAAAGGATTCATCCCCCTTGCCGTTTTTCCTATTTTGTTGCATTACAACCTGTAATTTAAATGGATTTTTATTTGGATTTCATGTAATGGACATACACAAAATAGTACAAATTGGTGAAGTGAAATGAAAAAATGTACTTGTTTCAAATATTTAGACAAAATAAATAACGGAAAAGTGGTGCTTGCATATGTATTCACCCCCTTTGCTATGAAGCCCCTAAATAAGATCTGGTGCAACCAATTACCTTCAGAAGTCACATAATTAGTTAAATAAAGTCCACCTGTGTGCAATCTAAGTGTCACATGATCTACACCTGTTCTGAAAGGCCCAAGAGTCTGCAACACCATTAAGCAAACGGCACCACCAAGCAAGCGGCACCATGAAGACCAAGGAGCTCTCCAAACAGGGACAAAGTTGTGGAGAAGTACAGATCTTTGAACATCCCACGGAGCACCATTAAATCCATTATAAAAAAATTGAAAGAATATGGCACCACAACAAACCTGCCAAGAGAGGGCCGCCCACCAATACTCACGGACTAGGCAAGGAGGGCATTCATCAGAGAGGCAACAAAGAGACCAAAGATAACCCTGAAGGAGCTGCAAAGCTCCACAGCAGAGATTGGAGTATCTGTCCATAGGACCACTTTAAGCCGTACACTCCACAGAGCTGGGCTTTTTGGAAGAGTGGCCAGAAAAAAGCATTGGTTAAAGAAAGAAATAAGCAAACACGTTTGGTGTTCGCCAAAAGGCATGTGGGAGACTCCCCAAACATATGGAAGAAGGTACTCTGCTCAGATGAGACAAAAATTGAGCTTTTTGGCCATCAAGGAAAAAGCTATGTCTGGCGCAAACCCAACAACTCTCATCACCCCGAGAACACCATCCCCACAGTGAAGTATGGTGGTGGCAGCATCATGCTGTGGGGATGTTTTTCATCGGCAGGGACTGGGGAATTTGTCAGAATTGAAGGAATGATGGATGGCGCTAAATACAGGGATATTCTTGAGGGAAACCTGTTTCAGTCTTCCAGAGATTTGAGACTGGGATGGAGGTTCACCTTCCAGCAGGACAATGACCCTGAGTATACTGCTAAAGCAACACTTGAGTGGTTTAAGGGGAAACATTTAAATGTCTTGGAATGGCCTAGTCAAAGCCCAGACCTCAATCCAATTGAGAATCTGTGGTATGACTTAAAGATTGCTGTACACCAGCGGAACCCATCCAACTTGAAGGAGCTGGAGCAGTTTTGCCTTGAAGAATTGGCAAAAATCCCAGTGGCTAGATGTGCCAAGCTTATAGAGACATACCCCAAGAGACTTGCAGCTGTAATTGCTGCAAAAGGTGGCTCTACAAAGTATTGACTTTGGGGGGGGGGAGAATAGTTATGCACACTCAAGTTTTCTGTTTTTTTGTCTTATTTCTTGTTTGTTTCACAAGAAAAAATATTTTGCATATTCAAAGTGGTAGGCATGTTGTGTAAATCAAATGATACAAACCCCCCAAAAATCCATGTTAATTCCAGGTTGTAAGGCAACAAAATAGGAAAAATGCCAAGGGGGGTGAATACTTTCGCAAGCCACTGTATGAGTGTTTATGTATGTATGTGTATGTATGCGTGTGTGTATGCGTGTGTGTATGTACTGTATTGGTGTGTGACACTGAGCGGGGTACTCACGCATGATCTACGGGCCAGAAGTTGATCAGTGTAACAGGACTGGAAGATAGGAGAGGTGAGATGAGAACAGAGAAAATAAGTTGATCAGTGTAACAGGACTGGAAGATAGGAGAGGTGAGATGAGAACAGAGGTTGATCAGTGTAACAGGACTGGAAGATAGGAGAGGTGAGATGAGAACAGAGGTTGATCAGTGTAACAGAACTGGAAGATAGGAGAGGTGAGATGAGAACAGAGGACACTTCAGAAGCATGATGAGACATGAGAAGCAGGGCCTCACCTTAACACACATCAGAACAAACACACACACAAGTCCTCATACTCCACTCTCATACAAACACAGATTACCAGGGTTGTTTTATAAGAGCAGGTTGAATTTGTTATGTCTGTGTGTGTATGTGAACGTGTCTCTGTGTGTGTATGTGAACGTGTCTCTGTGTGTGTATGTGAACGTGTCTCTGTGTGTGTATGTGAACGTGTCTCTGTGTGTGTATGTGAACGTGTCTCTGTGTGTGTATGTGAACGTGTCTCTGTGTGTGTATGTGAATGTGTCTCTGTGTGTATGTGAACGTTTCTCTATGTGTGTATTTCAACGTGTCTCTATGTGTGTATGTGAATGTGTCTCTGTGTGTATGTGAACGTTTCTCTATGTGTGTATTTCAACGTGTCTCTGTGTGTGTATGTGAACGTTTCTCTATGTGTGTATTTCAACGTGTCTCTGTGTGTGTATGTGAACGTGTCTCTGTGGAATAGGGATTCTATATGGTACATCCTAATGAATCAGAGGCATGTTTTTATTTTTTTTATTTTTATTTAACCTTTATTTAACATAATGGAGTAGGGGTTCTATACAGTAGATCCCAATGGATCAGAGGCATAATGGAGTAGGGATTCTATACGGTAGATCCCAATGGATCAGAGGCATAATGGAGTAGGGATTCTATACGGTAGATCCCAATGAATCAGAGGCATAATGGAGTAGGGATTATATACGGTAGATCCCAATGGATCAGAGGCATAATGGAGTAGGGATTCTATACGGTAGATCCCAATGGATCAGAGGCATAATGGAGTAGGGATTCTATACGGTAGATCCCAATGAATCAGAGGCATAATGGAGTAGGGATTATATACGGTAGATCCCAATGGATCAGAGGCATAATGGAGTAGGGATTCTATACGGTAGATCCCAATGGATCAGAGGCATAATGGAGTAGGGATTCTATACGGTAGATCCCAATGAATCAGAGGCATAATGGAGTAGGGATTCTATACGGTAGATCCCAATGAATCAGAGGCATAATGGAGTAGGGATTCTATACGGTACGTCCCAATGAATCAGAGGCATAATGGAGTAGGGATTCTATATGGTACGTCCCAATGAATCAGAGGCATAATGGAGTAGGGATTCTATACGGTAGATCCCAATGGATCAGAGGCATAATGGAGTAGGGGTTCTATATGGTACGTCCCAATGAATCAGAGGCATAATGGAGTAGGGATTCTATACGGTACATCCCAATGAATCAGAGGCATAATGGAGTAGGGATTCTATACGGTAGATCCCAATGAATCAGAGGCATAATGGAGTAGGGATTCTATACGGTAGATCCCAATGAATCAGAGGCATAATGGAGTAGGGGTTCTATACGGTACGTCCCAATGAATCAGAGGCATAATGGAGTAGGGATTCTATACGGTAGATCCCAATGAATCAGAGGCATAATGGAGTAGGGGTTCTATACGGTACGTCCCAATGAATCAGAGGCATAATGGAGTAGGGATTCTATACGGTAGATCCCAATGAATCAGAGGCATAATGGAGTAGGGGTTCTATACGGTACGTCCCAATGAATCAGAGGCATAATGGCATCAAAAGGAATAGACTGTCTGACAGATCTACTCACTGTTTGGTCTTCCAACCGATACATCTTTATTCATGCATGTCTCTGCATCACGCGCACACCCACACACACACACCCACACACACACACACACACATACGAGCGTGCGCTGACATCGAGCGTGCGTTGACATCAAAACAAACCTCTCTGAATTTACCAGAGCAAGAAAAACTAAAGAAATCACCCAGTGAAAAATCAAGGCCAAGGACAAGTAGACATAAACACACACACAGGCACACACACACACAGGCACACACATACAGGCACACAGACACACAGGCACACACACTCACACACACACACACAGAGACACACAGCATCCTGACAAGGTGACAGTGAATGCATTAATGTGCATGGCTGCTAGCTTGGCAGGCTGAGAATCTCTCTCCATTTTCTGTCTCAACTGATTCTTCAACCAGCCAGTGTGAGCTAAGTGTGCATTTGAGTGTGCATGCATGTGGCTATGTGTGTGTGTGTCAGTGAATGTGTGTGTGTGGTCTAGCAGTCAGGGAAAGGGACTTAATCCCCTAGGTCAGCTGTTAGGCCTAAACCAGCCCCTCTCCTGTCCCTTAGGCCAGCTGTTAGACCTAAACCAGCCCCTCTCCTGCCCCTTAGGCCATCTGTTAGGCCTAAACCAGCCCCTCTCCTGCCCCTTAGGTCAGCTGTTAGGCGTAAACCAGCCCCTCTCCTGCCCCTTATGCCAGCTGTTAGACCTAAACCAGCCCCTCTCCTGCCCCTTAGGCCAGCTGTTAGACCTAAACCAGCCCCTCTCCTGTCCCTTAGGCCAGCTGTTAGACCTAAACCAGCCCCTCTCCTGTCCCTTAGGCCAGCTGTTAGACCTAAACCAGCCCCTCTCCTGTCCCTTAGGCCAGCTGTTAGACCTAAACCAGCCCCTCTCCTGTCCCTTAGGCCAGCTGTTAGACCTAAACCAGCCCCTCTCCTGTCCCTTAGGCCAGCTGTTAGACCTAAACCAGCCCCTCTCCTGTCCCTTAGGCCAGCTGTTAGACCTAAACCAGCCCCTCTCCTGTCCCTTAGGCCAGCTGTTAGACCTAAACCAGCCCCTTTCCTGTCCCTTAGGCCAGCTGTTAGGCCTAAACCAGCCCCTCTCCTGCCCCTTAGGCCAGCTGTTAGACCTAAACCAGCCCCTCTCCTGTCCCTTAGGCCAGCTGTTAGACCTAAACCAGCCCCCCTCCTGTCCCTTAGGCCAGCTGTTGATAGACTTGTTGGGACTAGATGAGATGTTTAGATATGGGACCTGAGGGCTGATTATATCACCTGGTTGTGTGTGTGCATGCCTGTGTGTGTGTGTGTGTGTGTGTGTGTGTGTGTGTGTGTGTGTGTGTGTGAGGACTCACGTCTCCAGGTTGTCTCCCTCCAAGATGGTCTGTACAGGGAGGTAGCCCATGCGAGGGTGCTTAGCGAAGTATCGTTTGGTCCTGAATTTGTTTTTCAGTACCTTGGCAAAGTCCCTCACATCCTCTCCTGACGTAGTCTGAAACACACAGAGACAGAACAAAGACCCCCTTGTTCACAGCCCCAGTCTACAGATCCACACCACACACAGTGACACACCCAAACACACATAGACACCCAAACACACACACAGAAACACACACATTGACAAACACAGCTATAGACACAAACACCCATAGACACACACACATTGACACACACACACACACAGACACACACATAGACACAGACACACACACATTGACACACACACACAAGACACACACACACACACACACACATTGACACACACATACACGCCCACATACACACTCTGACAAACACGGCCTACTTTCAGCAGCAGCACTGGCGAATGGAAACATACGTGTTGATTCCAGTTCATGTGACTGTGGTAAAGTAGTGTTAACTGTCTTCCAACCACTTTACACTGGCAGGAAAGAGACAGACTGACCTCATCTTTACAGGTTCATGGGCCCAGTAAATACAGGGATTTATTTGCCCTATGTTATAAATACACCACCACACACACACACACACATGCATGTACCCACACACACACCCTGTGTATACATACCGGCGTACAGTACTCCACCATGGGGTACTGCATCTTGTGTCCCTTTGCCACACGGCCAGAGAAGAAGCAGCTTTGGCAGATGTCATAGTTAAAGTGCTTTAAGCTTCGGTACCTGAGGAAGACAGGGAGACAGGGACAGAGGTTACACAGAGACAGAGGGGAGACTGGGGGAGGAGAGAGGTCAGGTGAAGTTCAAGGTTGAGGTCAGGGAGTTGTGTTCCTGGGGTCAGCTAAGGGTTACTGTTATTGTGACTTTGGAAACGTTAGGGTTGCATGAAGGGGCTTGAGAAGTCTGAGGCTACGTCTCAAATGACACCCTACACCCTATATAGTGCACTACTTTTGACCAGAGTCCTATGTGGCCGCCCTACGTAGACAATGGTCAAAGGTAGTGCACTATATATGGGGAATAGGGTGTGATTTGAGACTTGCCCTGGGAGACAGAGAGGGCTCCTGAAAAGGAGCAAGAGAGAAAGAAAGGGAGAGAGCCTCTGTCTGTCTGTCTGTCTGTCTGTCTGTCTGTCTGTCTCTGACTGTCTACCTGAAGCCGATGATAGGACACTCTTTGCAGATGTTACACTTGGCCTGATGTTTGGCTGTCTCAGCAGCTGCCACACGATGTAAGACAGGCAGCCACACCATCGACTGAGGCTCCAGACGCATCCAGTCCAGGAACATAGCAGCCTCCAGCTCCGGCTTGTTATTGGCCTGTTAGACAGGAAGCAGAATACATAACCAATCAGGAACATAGCAGCCTCCAGCTCCGGCTTGTTATTGGCCTGATGGACAGGAAGTAGAATACATAACCAATCAGGAACATAGCAGCCTCCAGCTCTGGCTTGTTATTGGCCTGTTCAAAATATTTTAACACACATACAACCAATTATGGAAGAGCTACGGTCAGCAAGAGGGAAGGATTGATTAATAGGACAAACCAGTGGTATTTCCAGTCTATATATGTATAAGGTATGTATAAAGTGTTTGGCTGTATTGGTCTAGGGCAAACAAGCCGTTTTACCAGTATAAAATAATACAGAACTACAAACTCTCCTGCTACTGTTTTCTCCTGGATTGTAAAGCAGGGGTTTTCCATTACACTCTATCATATTTTCCATGGCCATATTTACTGCTGGAAACAGATGCAGTGACAACTGTAGAGAAGTGATTTCCACTGGCTGACAGATGGACCATAGATTACAGATGACCATAGGGTAATATATGTACTGTGGCTAACACATTCAGTATGGTGATTCACTATAGCTAGCAGGCTAACTGATGTACTTTGGCTAACATAGATAGCAGGCTAACATATGTACTTTGGCTAACACATTCAGTACGGTGATTCACTATAGCTAGCAGGTTAACAGATGTACTTTGGCTAACACATTCAGTATGGTGATTCACTATAGCTAGCAGGCTAACTGATGTACTTTGGCTAACATAGATAGCAGGCTAACATATGTACTTTGGCTAACATATTCAGTAAGGTGATTCACTATAGCTAGCAGGCTAACATATGTACTTTGGCTAACATAGATAGCAGGCTAACATATGTACTTTGGCTAACACATTCAGTATGGTGATTCACTATAGCTAGCAGGCTAACAGGTGTACTTTGGCTAACACATTCAGTATAGTGATTCACTATAGCTAACAGGCTAACTGATGTACTTTGGCTAACATAGGTAGCAGGCTAACATATGTACTTTGGCTAACACATTCAGTATGGTGATTCACTATAGCTAGCAGGCTAACAGATGTACTTTGGCTAACATAGATAGCAGGCTAACATATGTACTTTGGCTAACACATTCAGTATGGTGATTCACTATAGCTAGCAGGCTAACATATGTACTGTGGCTAACACATTCAGTATGGTGATTCACTATAGCTAGCAGGCTAACATATGTACTTTGGCTAACACATTCAGTATGGTGATTCACTATAGCTAGCATGCTAACAGATGTACTTTGGCTAACATAGATAGCAGGCTAACAGATGTACTTTGGCTAACACATTCAGTATGGTGATTCACTATAGCTAGGCTAACAGATGTACTGTGGCTAACACATTCAGTATGGTGATTCACTATAGCTAGCAGGCTAACAGATGTACTTTGGCTAACACATTCAGTATGGTGATTCACCATAGCTAGCAGGCTAACTGATGTACTTTGGCTAACATAGATAGCAGGCTAACAGATATACTTTGGCTAACACATTCAATATGGTGTTTCACTAGGCTATAGCTAGCAGGCTAACATATGTACTTTGGCTAACATAGATATCAGGCTAACAGATGTACTTTGGCTAACATAGCTAGCAGGCTAACAGATGTACTTTGGCTAACATAGCTAGCAGGCTAACAGATGTACTTTGGCTAACATAGCTAGCAGAGTGCAATGTATAGACCTACTGATTAACCACACAGGACATCTCTACCTAAAGAGACACTTTATCAGACATTTCCCCACATTGCATAGTGTGGTTTTTCATGAAATGCATGTGATCTGCAGAAGGTGTTTAGCACAGTAGTGTAGAATGTGAGGTAGTTTATACGTCTGTATGTTATATGTACGTTGTGTGTGTGTGTGTGTGTGTGTGTGTGTGTGTGTGTGTGTGTGTGCATAGCTACGACCATTGCTACTAGCTCCACATACAAACTGGAAGCAGCTGCGGACGCTGGGCTCGATGTTGGAGCCCCCGAAGGAGGCCACCTCTCCCAGCTGACGGGGGATCTGGATGGAATCATGGAGGAGAAGACCCAGCCTCCGCTGGTCACAGAACCCTGTCGCACTGGCTACCTGGCGGAACAGGACTGATAGAGGTGGGGGAGGGAGGGAGGCAGAGAGCACTGGAGAGGTAAATACCCAAGTCCAGAGATACATACCAACACACTAACAGAATAGACCACATAGGATACTGCCTCCATACACTGGCCATAACAACATACTAACAGAATAGACCACATGGTATACTGCCTCCATACACTAGCTATACCAACAACAACACACACCCACACAGCTGTTTGGAGGGGTTTTATGTGTCATGCCTACTTGATGCATGAAAATCTATCATCAAATCAACAATCTGGCCATGGGTTTTTACACTATGTGGTGCCACATCTGCTGCTAATAATATCATAAAGAGTAGTCCCTACTTCCATCTGTATTTGTCCTCCAGGTGTGGTAATATAAAGATCAGTCATTACTTCCCCATCTGTATTTGTGACTCGTTTCAGGAAACTAGGCATATGTCGCATGTCACTACTTCACAGGAGAGGCATTTGAACGTAAACATAATTATTTTTATCAAAATGCATTTTTTTGGCAGAAATGCCTTCTGGAAGATGTGAACTTTCATGTGCCTTAATAACAAACGTGTATTCCATCCGTAAATACAAATACAATTGTTAAATTACGAGCCTAGTTGGTTTAGCCACGGAAAAATACCTTCCCGCTAGCCATGATTGACTGAGATAATGGATGGGCTGGACATGCTGGGAGATGAGTTTGGATTGGTCTGCCATGTAGCATGCTTCTGTTTATAACGTGAGCTGCTCAGTATGTGTTGATAGTCCTTTCTACCGCACCATTTCTGAAATATATCGACAGATCAGTTGGAAAAAGTGATTTGCTACTTTCTGCACACGCCACGGTCAGTGTGAACAGGAGTGACTTGACACAACGCTGGCCAAACAAGATGTAGCTACAAACAAAACTGAGTTAAATGGTTCCAGTCTGCCGTGAAGCGTCCAAACATGTATATGGGTAAGAGTCTAGCTACATTTTCAGATATTATACAGTGACTTGTGAAATTATTCACCTCCCTTTGCATTTTTCCTATTTTGTTGCCTTACAACCTGGAATTAAAATGGATTTTTTGGGCATTTGATTTACACAACATGCCTACCACTGAAGATGCAAAATATTTTTTATTGTGAAACAAACAAGAAATAAGACAAAAAAACAGAAAACTTGAGCATACATAACTATTCACCCCCTCAAAATCAATACTTTGTAGAGCCACCTTTTGCAGCAATTACAGCTGCAAGTCCCTTGGGGTATGTCTCTATAATCTTGGCACATCTAGCCACTGGGATTTTTGCCCATTCTTCAAGGCAAAACTGCTCCAGCTCCTTCAAGTTGGATGGGTTCCGCTGGTGTACAGCAATCTTTAAGTCATACCACAGATTCTCAATTGGATTGAAGTCTGGGCTTTGACTAGGCCATTCCAAGACATTTAAATGTTTCCCCTTAAACCACTCGAGTGTTGCTTTAGCAGTATGCTTAGGGTCATTGTCCTTCTGGAAGGTGAACCTCCGTCCCAGTCTCAAATCTCTGGAAGACTGAAACAGGTTTCCCTCAAGAATTTCCCTTTATTTAGCGCCATCCATCATTCCTTAAATGCTGACCAGTTTCCCAGTCCCTGCCGATGAAAAACTTCCCCACAGCATGATGCTGCAACCATCATGCTTCACTGTGGAGATGGTGTTCTCGGGGTGACATAGCGTTTTCCTTGATGGCCATCTGACCAGAGTACCTTCTTCCATATGTTTGGGGAGTCTCCCACATGGCTTTTGGCGAACACCAAACGTGTTTGCTTATATATTTCTTTAAGCAATGGCTTTTTTCTGGCCATTCTTCCGTAAAGCCCAACTCTGTGGAGTGTACAGCTTAAAGTGGTCCTATGGACAGATACTCCAATCTCCGCTGTGGAGCTTTGCAGCTCCTTCAGGGTTATCTTTGGTCTCTTTGTTGCCGCTCTGATTAATGCCCTCCTTGCCTGGTCCGTGAGTTTTGGTGGGCGGCCTTCTCTTGGCAGGTTTGTTGTGTTGCCATATTCTTTCCATTTTTTAATAATGGATTTAATGGTGCTATTTTTTTATAACCCAACCCTGATCTGTACTTCTCCACAACTTTGTCCCTGACCTGTTTGGAGAGCTCCTTGGTCTTCATGGTGCCGCTTGCTTGGTGGTGCCCCTTGCTTAGTGGTGTTGCAGACTCTGGGGCCTTTCAGAACAGGTGTATAAATGCTGAGATCATATGCCAGATCATGTGACACTTAGATTGCACACAGGTGGACTTTATTTAACTAATTATGTGACTTCTGAAGGTAATTGGTTGCACCAGATCTTATTTAGGGGCTTCATAGCAAAGGGGGTGAATACATATGCACGCACCACTTTTCCGTTATATATTTTTTAGAATTTTTAAAAACAAGTTATTTTTTTTATTTCACTTCACCAATTTGGCTATTTTATGTATGTCCATTACATGAAATAGAAAAAAAGAAAAAAAAAAAAATACATGTTGTAATGCAACAAAATAGGAAAAACGCCAAGGGGGATGAATACTTTTGCAAGGCATTGTAAGTTTCAAATTTTGTCCGAAAGTTGTTTTCATTGCAAGTTAAAGCGTACTGTTCGTTAGCTTGCTGGCTTGCTAGCTAAAGTTACATGTATGATCTGTGTAGTAATATTATTCAAATCAGAAATCCCTTAGCCTTATAGCCTAATGTTAGCTAGCTAACATTGAACCTGGTTGGTTAGCTTTAGCTACCTGCAGATTCATACTACAGCTATGTTTGTAATGGTTGGTAGTAGTATGAGTTGGGATTATGCCGGTTCATTGTTTAGCTAGCTAGCTACATGTCTAAACAAAGCACCAGATGATTACATGACCCATCACGTTAGCCAGGGCTGGCGGTGATTACGGCCATCTATTGTATTTCATAAACATGTGTACATGTCTAGACAATAGTGACCCATCCACTTAGCTAGATGTGGTTGGGGGTTGGTTATAGCATTTCCTTCACATGACCCATCGATTTAGACAAGTGTGTCAGGTAAGCATCATCTAATAATTATAAAATATTTATAACATATTTTTATCTGGACGCTTTCTGTTTTTGATATTGCTACTATGCAAGTAACCATTTCACTGTACTGTTTACACCTTCTGTATCCTGTGCATGTGACAAATCAACTTTTTATTTAATTTGATATATTGTGTGTTTACAAGAGACGGTAATGTGAAGAACAACATGACCTTCACCAAAGTCAGATTAGGATATAGGCCAAGGACTAGATAAAGTGTATTTTTATCTGGACTTTTTACTACTTTTAGTCTTGAAATCTTTGGTTGTTTACTACACTAATCACTGGTTAGCAAATGGCCTCACGTGAATCCTTAAAGAGATGGGTGAAGCTAAGGCTTCTCCAGTAGGTTTACCAAAACATTCAAGGGCCATTTTTTCAAAAGTGGGGTTACAAGTTTATCAACTTTCAAAGTAGAATTACTTTCCCATTGTTCTTCAACTACAGTGTATGATATACCATTTTCTAGCTCTGAGTCTCTACTTTTATCCCAATGTAAAAAACACAATTTCAAATTTTGCTACATAAGACCGAATCGAGGCGGTCAGTCACATTTGTCCTCCAGGTGTGGTAATAAAAAGAGTAGTCATTACTTACATCTGTATTTGTCCTCCAGGTGTGCTTTGCAGAGTGAGATGATGCCAGTTTTGAAGGACAGAGTTCTGATTTTTCCACTTCTTCCTCTGTGAAACCAATCAATCATATCAATCAATCAGATGTCAATCAATCATATCAATCAATCATATACTCATCAATCAGTGAGTGTCGTTAGGTACGTGTCGTTAGGGACGTGTCATTGGGGACCTGTCGTTAGGTACATGTCGTTAGGGACGTGTCGTTAGGGACGTGTCGTTAGGGACGTGTCGTTAGGTACGTGTCGTTAGGTACATGTCGTTAGGTACGTGTCGTTAGGTACATGTCGTTAGGTACGTCTCGTTAGGTACGTGTCGTTAGGTACCTGTCGTTAGGTACGTGTCGTTAGGTACGTGTCGTTAGGTACGTGTCGTTAGGTACCTGTCGTTAGGTACCTGTCGTTAGGTACCTGTCGTTAGGTACGTGTCGTTAGGTACGTGTCGTTAGGTACGTGTCGTTAGGTACCTGTCGTTAGGTACCTGTCGTTAGGTACGTGTCGTTAGGTACGTGTCGTTAGGTACCTGTCGTTAGGTACCTGTCGTTAGGTACCTGTCGTTAGGTACCTGTCGTTAGGTACGTGTCGTTAGGTACCTGTCGTTAGGTACCTGTCGTTAGGTACCTGTCGTTAGGTACCTGTCGTTAGGTACGTGTCGTTAGGTACGTGTCGTTAGTGTTTTGTGTGTACTATACGTACGTGTCGTAAACATTGAGCAGCCAGTTGAGACACATGTCGACACACAGTGGGACGTTGACCAGGTTCCCATGCTGCTGGTCCAGTTTCTCATAGAGGCTGGTCAGACATGTCATCACCTGCATGATGTCCATCAGCTGCTCATTCTGCTTCAGGCCATGCTGCTCAAAGACCTCACACGCCGCAGGCATACCCAGGAGGTCCACTGGAGAGTAGAGGGGGGAGGGAGGAGAGGGGGAGAGGGAGGGGGAGGCGCGAAGGGGATAGGGAGGGAGGGAGGGAGAGGAGAGAGGGAGCGAGGAGAGGAGAGGAGAGGAGAGGAGAAGAGAGGAGAGGAGAGGAGAGGAGAGGAGAGGGTGAGTGTGGGTAAGAGAAAGAGAGAGTTTGATGAGTAAGAGGGTGTGTAATAGAGTAACTGATGTATTATTATTTTTATTTATTTTTAATTTGACCTTTATTTAACTAGGCAAGTCAGTTAAGAACAAATTCTTATTTACAATGACGGCCTACACCGGCCAAACCTGGACGACGCTGGGCCAATTGTGCGCCGCCCTATGGGACTCCCAAACACGACCGGTTGTGATACAGCCTGGAATCGAACCAGTGGGTCTGTAGTGACGCCTCAAGCACTGAGATGCAGTGCCTTAGACCGCTGCGCCACTCGGGAGTAACTGATGTGTAATAGAGTAACTGATGTGTAACAGAGTAACTGATGTGTAACAGAGTAACTGATGTGTAATAGAGTAACTGATGTGTAACAGAGTAACTGATGTGTAATAGAGTAACTGATGTGTAATAGAGTAACTGATGTGTAATAGAGTAACTGATGTGTAATAGAGTAACTGATGTGTAACAGAGTAACTGATGTGTAATAGAGTAACTGATGTGTAACAGAGTAACTGATGTGTAACAGAGTAACTGATGTGTAATAGAGTAACTGATGTGTAACAGAGTAACTGATGTGTAACAGAGTAACTGATGTGTAATAGAGCTTGGTGGAAAGAGAGACAGGGATGATGAATGAGTGAGTGATGGAGAGTGTGAGGGGAGGACAAAGAAGGAGAGGGTGAGTGGTAGTAGAGGAGGTACTGTAGGACAGTGTCTCTGTGAGGGGGATGGAGGGCTGCTGGAGTAGAGGAGGTACTGTAGGACAGTGTCTCTGTGAGGGGGATGGAGGGGTGATGGAGTAGAGGAGGTACTGTAGGACAGTGTCTCTGTGAGGGGGATGGAGGGGTGATGGAGTAGAGGAGGTACTGTAGGACAGTGTCTCTGTGAGGGGGATGGAGGGGTGCTGGAGTAGAGGAGGTACTGTAGGACAGTGACTCTGTGAGGGGGATGGAGGGGTGCTGGAGTAGAGGAGGTACTGTAGGACAGTGACTCTGTGAGGGGGATGGAGGGGTGATGGAGTAGAGGAGGTAGTTTGGGGTGGTGACTAGGTGAGGGGCCTGGACTTACGACAGAGAGCTTTCTGCAGGCGCCTCAGCTTCATGGCTGTCCGGTAGGCTGAGAAACGCACGTTGTTCAGGTCGGCTGCAGAGACACATGGAGAGACAGTCACTAAAACTAAATACACTGTAAAACAGTGCTATCTCCATCCATAATCAGATATTGGCCTGCTACTTGAGCTGCACTTGATTTATCTTGGAGTTCACACTTTTGGTACAGTACAAATACAATTGCATAGACCTAGGGTTGCAAAATTCCGGAATCTTTCAATAAATTCCCTGGTTTTCCCGAAATCCTGGTTGGAGGATTCCCGGAATCAGAAGGGAATAAGCAGGAAATCCAACCGGGATTTATTGAAAGTTCATGGAATTTTGCAACCCTATACAGGGCAAACCTAATCAAGTGCATCTGAAATAGGTCCTACTTGGTCCACTGTATGTGGACTTCTTACCCAGAGACTGGTAGAGCTCGGCCATCTTGGGATGGTCCCAGCATGTTGTCTGTGTCTGGTGGCTGGAGGAGAGATCAGGAGAATACAGGTCAATACAACCAGGGCCGTGCACAGACCTTTTGGGGGACATGTGATCAAAAAAATTGTTTTTTACGCAACCGCTCGTTAAGCAATTATGACTTAGATTATTTAGTTACATAAAAGCAATAGATGCCAAATGTATTTGTGTCAAATTAAATGACACAAATAAATAACCCTTAGTTTCAAAAGCTTTATTCTTATTCACTTTAATAATCCTAGCATATGCTACAGTTAACACGATGACTTGCAGGCAGTGGGTTCAGAACAACAGCAACAAGAAAATGTATACAACAAAAAATATTTGTGTGGAATTTCTACCACCACCCAAAACTGCACTTTGGAGACTGGAAGGGCAAAGGGGTATGTGCTCTGCAGGTAGAGCCCTGTCTGTGCACCTGCCTGAATATACACACACACACACACACACACACACACACACACACACACACACACACACACACACACACACACACACACACACACACACACACAACAAGGGACATGTTGACTGTAAAGAGGACACAAAGGGGTTATATCACGTGTGACGCCGTGTACACATTGATTGTGTGTGTGTGTGTGTGTGTGTGTGGTGTGGTGTGTGTGTCTGTGGGGTGAAGCAGGGTAATGGAACCAGGGAAGACAGTAAAGACAGTGATGGGTCCTGTGGGGTGAAGCAGGGTAAAGGAACCAGGGAAGACAGTAAAGACAGTGATGGGTCCTGTGGGGTGAAGCAGGGTAATGGAACCAGGGAAGACACTAAAGACAGTGATGGGTCCTGTGGGGTGAAGCAGGGTAAAGGAACCAGGGAAGACAGTAAAGACAGTGATGGGTCCTGTGGGGTGAAGCAGGGTAAAGGAACCAGGGAAGACAGTAAAGACAGTGATGGGTCCTGTGGGGTGAAGCAGGGTAAAGGAACCAGGGAAGACAGTAAAGACAGTGATGGGTCCTGTGGGGTGAAGCAGGGTAAAGGAACCAGGGAAGACAGTAAAGACAGTGATGGGTCCTGTGGGGTGAAGCAGGGTTAAGGAACCAGGGAAGACAGTAAAGACAGTGATGGGTCCTGTGGGGTGAAGCAGGGTAAAGGAACCAGGGAAGATAGTAAAGACAGTGATGGGTCCTGTGGGGTGAAGCAGGGTAAAGGAACCAGGGAAGACAGTAAAGACAGTGATGGGTCCTGTGGGGTGAAGCAGGGTAAAGGAACCAGGGAAGACAGTAAAGACAGTGATGGGTCCTGTGGGGTGAAGCAGGGTAAAGGAACCAGGGAAGACAGTAAAGACAGTGATGGGTCCTGTGGGGTGAAGCAGGGTTAAGGAACCAGGGAAGACAGTAAAGACAGTGATGGGTGAAGCAGGGTAAAGGAACCAGGGAAGACAGTAAAGACAGTGATGGGTCCTGTGGGGTGAAGCAGGGTAATGGAACCAGGGAAGACAGTAAAGACAGTGATGGGTCCTGTGGGGTGAAGCAGGGTAAAGGAACCAGGGAAGACAGTAAAGACAGTGATGGGTCCTGTGGGGTGAAACAGGGTAAAGGAACCAGGGAAGACAGTAAAGACAGTGATGGGTCCTGTGGGGTGAAGCAGGGTAATGGAACCAGGGAAGACAGTAAAGACAGTGATGGGTCCTGTGGGGTGAAGCAGGGTAAAGGAACCAGGGAAGACAGTAAAGACAGTGATGGGTCCTGTGGGGTGAAGCAGGGTAAAGGAACCAGGGAAGACAGTAAAGACAGTGATGGGTCCTGTGGGGTGAAGCAGGGTAAGGGATCCAGGGAAGACAGTAAAGACAGTGATGGGTCCTGTGGGGTGAAGCAGGGTAATGGAACCAGGGAAGACAGTAAAGACAGTGATGGGTCCTGTGGGGTGAAGCAGGGTAAAGGAACCAGGGAAGACAGTAAAGACAGTGATGGGTCCTGTGTGGTGAAGCAGGGTAAAGGAACCAGGGAAGACAGTAAAGACAGTGATGGGTCCTGTGGGGTGAAGCAGGGTAAAGGAACCAGGGAAGACAGTAAAGACAGTGATGGGTCCTGTGGGGTGAAGCAGGGTAAAGGAACCAGGGAAGACAGTAAAGACAGTGATGGGTCCTGTGGGGTGAAGCAGGGTAAAGGAACCAGGGAAGACAGTAAAGACAGTGATGGGTCCTGTGGGGTGAAGCAGGGTAAAGGAACCAGGGAAGACAGTAAAGACAGTGATGGGTCCTGTGGGGTGAAGCAGGGTAATGGAACCAGGGAAGATAGTAAAGACAGTGATGGGTCCTGTGGGGTGAAGCAGGGTAAAGGAACCAGGGAAGACAGTAAAGACAGTGATGGGTCCTGTGGGGTGAAGCAGGGTAATGGAACCAGGGAAGACAGTAAAGACAGTGATGGGTCCTGTGGGGGTGAAGCAGGGTAAAGGAACCAGGGAAGACAGTAAAGACAGTGATGGGTCCTGTGGGGTGAAGCAGGGTAAAGGAACCAGGGAAGACAGTAAAGACAGTGATGGGTCCTGTGGGGTGAAGCAGGGTAAAGGAACCAGGGAAGACAGTAAAGACAGTGAGTGATGGTTCCCGCATTCCAAACAGCACTTAGACTAAAACTCTCAGCATGAACCTCTCTCACCTTGGCAAAGAGGACAGCCGCTGCTGCCTCCACTGGAGTGTGTGTGTGTGGGTGTGCACACAGTGTGTGTGTGTGTGTGTGTGTGTATGGCGGCAGTTAGACTAGCTAGCTGTTATATAATTCCACCTGCATTCACAGTGACTCTGTGTCAAATCACTTAGTCTAGCCAAAGTGTTAGCTACTAGTTACAGTTCTACCTCTCTCCTCTCTTCCACCTCCTCCTCTCCTCTCTTCCTCCCCCACCTCTCTTCCACCTCCCCCTCCTCTCCTCTCCTCTCCTCTCTTCCACCTCCATCTCTCCTCTCCTCCACCTCTCCTCTCTTCCTACTCCTCCTCTCTTCCACCTCCATCTCTCCTCTCTTCCACCTCTCCTCTCTTCCTCCCACCTCCTCTCTTCCACCTCTCTTCTCTTCCTCCACCTCCTCTCCTCCACCTCTCCTCTCCTCCACCTCTCCTCTCTTCCTCCACCTCCTCTCTTCCACCTCTCCTCTCTTCCTCCACCTCCTCTCCTCCACCTCTCCTCTCTTCCACCTCTCCTCTCTTCCTACTCCTCACCACTGCTGACATGCTCCCCTCCTCCTCACCACTGCTGACATGCTCCCCTCCCACCTCCTCCTCACCACTGCTGACATGCTCCCCTCCCACCTCCTCCTCACCACTGCTGACATGCTCCCCTCCCACCTCCTCCTCACCACTGCTGACATGCTGCTCCCCTCCCACCTCCTCCTCACCACTGCTGACATGCTGCTCCCCTCCCACCTCCTCCTCACCACTGCTGACATGCTCCCCTCCCACCTCCTCCTCACCACTGCTGACATGCTGCTCCCCTCCCACCTCCTCCTCACCACTGCTGACATAATCCCCTCCCACCTCCTCCTCACCACTGCTGACATGCTCCCCTCCCACCTCCTCCTCACCACTGCTGACATGCTGCTCCCCTCCCACCTCCTCCTCACCACTGCTGACATGCTCCCCTCCCACCTCCTCCTCACCACTGCTGACATGCTGCTCCCCCCCCCACCTCCTCCTCACCACTGCTGACATAATCCCCTCCCACCTCCTCCTCACCACTGCTGACATGCTGCTCCCCTCCCACCTCCTCCTCACCACTGCTGACATGCTGCTCCCCTCCCACCTCCTCCTCACCACTGCTGACATGCTGCTCCCCTCCCACCTCCTCCTCACCACTGCTGACATGCTGCTCCCCTCCCACCTCCTCCTCACCACTGCTGACATGCTGCTCCCCTCCCACCTCCTCCTCACCATATAGATCTCATTCCGTCAGTAGAGGATGCCTGGTTGTTCCTTAAAAGTAATTTCCTCTCAATCTTAAATAAACATGCCCCATTCAAAAAATACAGAACTAAGAACCGATATAGCCCCTGGTTCTCCTCAGACTTGACTGCCCTTGACCAGCACAAAAAACATCCTGTGGCGTACAGCATTAGCATCAAATAGCCCCCCGCGATATGCAACTTTTCAGGGAAGTTAGGAACCAATATACACAAGCAGTCAGGAAAGCAAAGGCTAACTTTTTCAAACAGAAATTTGCATCCTGTAGCACTAACTCCAAAAAGTTTTGGGACACTGTAAAGTCCATGGAGAATAAGAGCACTTCCTCCCAGCTGCCCACTGCACTGAGGCTAGGAAACACTATCACCCACCGATAAATCTACAATAATCGAGAATTTCAACAAGCATTTTGCTACAGCTGGCCATGCTTTCCATCTGGCTACCACTAACCTGGCCACCAACTCTGCACCCTCTGCTGCAACTTGCCCATGCCCCCCCCCGCTTCTCCTTCACACAAATTCAGACAGCTGATGTTTTGAAAGCGCTGCAAAATCTGGACCCCTACAAATCAGCTGGGCTAGACAATCTGGACCCTTTCTTTCTAAAACTAGCCGCCGAAATTGTCGCTACCCCCTATTACTAGTCTGTTCAACCTCTCTTTCATAACGTCTGAGATCCCCAGAGATTGGAAAGCTGCCGCGGTCATCCCCCTCTTCAAAGGGGGTGACACTCTAGATCCAAATTGCTACAGACCTATATCCATCCTGCCCTGCCTTTCGAAAGTATTCGAAAGCCAAGTTAACAAACAGATAATTGACCATTTCGAATACCACCGTACCTTCTCCGCTATGCAATCCGGTTTCCGAGCTGGTCACGGGTGCACTTCAGCCACGCTCAAGGTCCTAAACGATATTATAACCGCGATTGATAATAGACAGTACTGTGCAGCCGTCTTCATCGACCTGGCCAAGGCTTTCGACTCTGTCAACCACCGCATTCTTATTGGCAGACTAAATAGCCTTGGTTTCTCAAATGACTGCCTCGCCTGGTTCACCAACTACT